TCCTGTCTGCTGTTTCTCCTTCCCTTTCACCTCAGTGTCGTCCTTGGTTTTCTCTGCCGTTATCTCAGAGCGAGCTGATGAGTCGACCCTCGCATGACGGGAACACAGAAGATAATAACTTGGAGATTTGATTTGATAAAAGTTTTCAAGACAGTGGGTGGGAGGGCTGCTCAGAAATGACTGACATCCCGTTGTGGCATCTGCGCACAGCGTGGGGGGATGCAAAGCACAGTGCCATGGCAACCACATTAAAAGCACCTTAAAACTGATTCCCTTACAAAAGCAATGAAATTGTGTTAATGTTCTGTTTCTCTTTGCTGTAATTGTTGTCACGTCAGTTCTGACGGGGGTTTTGCTTTTGAGAGGAAAAACAAAAACAATCAGGTGGGAATGATCATCCATGATGACGAGTCTCGTTTTAAAAGCAATACTTTCAGTCTGCTTATGATGTGTTTTTGGTGTATCGATGACCTTATCTACTCTCTGCTGTACACCTCCAAAGTGTGTCCCGCTAACAGACAAGACCAGCTCCGACTGGTCAGAGAAGGGGGAGGTTAAAAGATCCACGCTTGATGCTGACGGCCACATGTTTAGGCATCGTAGACTTCCACTGAGCAGCTACATCAGTCATTCGGAGGCATCACGAACGCAGCATCAACTGTCACTTTGTGCACATGTGCAGAATTCTCCTCCCTCCCCCTCTCCCCTTCCTCCCGCACAGGATATCTGCTACATTTGCCCTTTCCTCACGCCAAAATGAACTCTTGGCAAGGACTCAAGAGCATCACCCTCCCCTCGACAGTCACACCAACTGTGTTAGACTCCAGTGGTGAAACAGGATCCTATGCATTTGTGCATTGTGTGTAGTTCGTGTGTGACGCAGCAGTGCCATCTGTCGTGAACAACCTGTAACTGCCACCCAGTATTAGTGCTCCAACATGAACTTTCATCCAATTATGTGCTGTTTTTGTTCAAGCTTTCCCGTTCCCGCCATACTGTCCCCTCCCCACCCAGTCGCACAACTCAGTGAACCAGCCAGCCTTTAATCTTCATCGTTTCTTTTTCTTGCTCAGTGGAAACTTTTTTTGTTAAAGTAAATAATCTAGAAAAGTCTGATTATATGTAGAAATAGAGTAATTATAGAGATTTTACCAGAGATATTATAGTTATCTGTATCATAATGAAGTACTATTATAGAGGAGACTAGATGATGATATTGTTATGGGGAAATGCTTTTTTGTTTCTTTACCTGGTTTTATCATGTTTTTAAGGTACAAGAGAAAATATTTAAAACAAAACACCTGAGTGAGCTTCATCTTCTTCTTACTGACAGTGACTGGATTACTATTTAAGTTTTTAAGGCCTTCTTTTTTATTTTTTAATACAAAGTCTGACAGTTACATTAACCAGGCCTTCTCAGGGGATGAAGAAAGCTTAACATCCAGTGAGGGTATTCCTACGTAGCTCCAGAGGGCAAGGAACGCTGTACGCATGGATGGATCGGTGAGGAATCATTGAAACACTCACATTGATGTAAAGTAGAGAGAAAACAGGATCAGTTTTTTAAAAATAAAGCCTTGAAAATGTGTGTGTTTGAATTCTCATGTTGTCACTCAAGCTAATGTGTTATTGGGTCAATCAAATCAAATCTAATCAAAGATACTTTGTTAATCCCAGAGGGAAATTAGAGTTTCAGTACACAATTCAGAGATCAGACATACATGGGCAAGACACATGACAAGAATTGGTGACTGTGGTCATTCGCAACCCTAATTCGCGCTACCTTAATAGAGATCAGAGGGTTACATGAGGATTGGTTCAGGTGGAGGAAAAAAAAGGCACTTCAGAGTTACCCTCCACAGGGAGGGCAGCGTTGCTCTGCAAACCTGTCAGACATTTATGCAACATACTTCAGACAACACGACATAAGTGTCCACTAGGTGGGGCGGTGGGTTGGGACTATCCCCACTTCAGTTCCTGCAGCCACGATAAGCAGCGCATGTCACCTCAGTGTGGATAGGGGGAGGAGCATTGAGGGTTGGAGGGTTGCAGTGACCTTGGAACGTTTCAGCGGCCTTCCCGCAGTCCCGCCCAGGCTGGGAAAAAAAGACAGAGTTGAGTTGCCATAGCGACAGCACATTCCACATATCTTCTGAGGGGGGAGTTTTCATTGGAGCCTTGCAGGCCCAAGGACGCCAGATTCTGATTAGAAATTGTTTTGGGTGTGGTGAGTGGGCAGTGCGGGCATCAACCAGCATATGCCCGCTGATGCCACCGCACCACTCCACTCACACCTTCAGCCATCAGTGTCTAAGTGCGGTTTAAAATTAGAAGTGGGCACCGGCACCCGGGAGGAGGCTGAAATATCCCCCTGCCAAATGCCGTTGAATGCGCTCACTCCCAAGGCCCTAAGTGTGTGTTTGTGTGGAATGTCGTCAGTGGAAGCGTATAAGGTGCAAATAAAATTGGGGGGCAGGTTGCCACAGGAATGCGGAAATGGGGTCCATACCCGCACTCCCTGACTTGCCCACCCCCCAAGGTCCTTTGTGTATGTTTGTGTGATGATATGAGGGAGCAGGAGGAGAAAAATATGCGGGGATGGGGAGGAATGGCTGGTTGGGCTTAGCCCTCCAGGGAGCCAGCTCCCCTACTCCCCTGGGTCCCTAATCCCAATAATGGACATTAATCTATCCCAATCCGTGCTGATTCGTCCACTCTCTCCTTGATGGCATCCATCTTTTGTGCCAGTGAATGAATCTCGGCCAAAGTCCCAAGCTTATGATTCATCTCGACAATAATGTGAGTCTGTGAATTCACAGCGCGGTGCAAACCATCTCTGAGCTCCGGGATCAGGCCAATATTCCTCGACAGCTCGTTAATTTTCCGGTAAGCCAGGTAGCCTCCAAGGAAACCTGACACCAACACCACGAATATCCACACGTCTTCAGAGTCATCCACAGACAGCTGAGATAAACAAGTTCCACTGTTTCCAGGAGTCCATGATGTGTCCAAAATGTGAAAATGGGGGAAAAAAGCATCTCAGAGGACAACTTAAATTCATATAAATGAACAAAGAACTGGCAACTATTGACAAAACACACGCTTGTGCTTTCACTCATTTTTCATGAGTTGTTGTTATATTTATAACATTTTAAAGATTTAAAGAAAATATATTTTAGCTAAACTAATTAGTTTTATGTAGTTGGCCTAAATTAAATATATATGTGGTTATAAGTTTGCAGGTACACATCTTCTAATTTCCTCACGTTTTCCCTTGTGGTAGAAATAAAATCATTAATTTCTACTTTTTTCTGCATCCATGGTGACAGACAGATGTTGTTCAAACACACAGCTGTGGCCAAATGTTTAGAAAATGACACAGTAAGTATTGGTTTGCTGCTTGAGGGATTTAAAACCCTTTAGTCAGATATTTTTGTGATTCCTCGAATATAATAACATTTTATGTGTTTAAAGGGCTTTTATTGACAATTATATTAAGTTGATGTGAAGAGTAAATGTTTATAGTGTTGCTCCTTTTTCAAGACCTCTGATTCACCATGCCATGAATAATGTCTGGTCCAAATTCTCACTGACTGCAGCCCGCTCTTCATAATCAATAAATATATTTTACTCTGTTCACCTGCCTATAGAGGAGCACCTACAAGTTCTCAATGGGATGAAGGTCTGGCAAGTTTCTTGGACCTAACATGTTAATGTTGTGTTTGACCATGGTTGCTCATCAGCAAATGTTTTCAAATGGTTGGAGGAGTTCCTCTGGGAGGGTGTTTTGGTACCATCCTGTGTTCATACCTGTGTTCTGAAGCTAAACTGTGAACAAGTCCACTCCTTTGGCTGAGAAGAAACCCCACACATAAATAGTCTCAGAGAATCCTTTTTCCACATGTCCAAATCAACCAGGAAAGAGATTCATTAGAGGAAATGACTTTCACCTTGTCCTCAACAGCCCAGTATCTGCACCATTAGCAGAATACACCTGTGTTTGTGATGGGTTGCTCAGATAGGAAATGCTTCTTTGCTGCCCTTCTTTACACCAGACTATCCTCCAAAATCTCCTCTTCACTGTGAGATGCTGCCATTGCTGAGCATGCTTCAGATCAGACAGATGAACCTAAAGAAATGGTCCTGGTCCTGCTGGGCCATCTTAGGTACACTGAAGTGTTGTTCACAAATTCAGTTGAGAAGGACATTTGTGGATAGAATAGAATAGAATAGAATAATCCTTTAATAGTCCCACAAGGGGAAATTTGGTTGTGTCAGCAGCAACATCACACATATACAAACAATGCAGGACACAGAACAGAAGCACAGTTATTACCTATTTACATCATGGACAATAGTTACCAGAGCAGAGTACAATACAGTTGTTTATATAGGCGCACACATAATGTGTAAGCATAGCAGGATACTGAAGATGTTAAAATAGTTTTAAAAGTTTAAGATGATTAAAAGAGTGCAGAGTGTTTTATTTTCACAAAAAGGCAGGACTTTATTTCTGATAACTCTTCAGAACAGTCTTGAGGTTTCCACCATAAAATAAGGATATAATTTTTGAGACAGCTATCATCTGTGTTATTCTCTGACCTACAGAATGAAAGCGCAGATGAAAACAAGGTGAATCCGCTGTTTGAGTTATGAAGTACTTAACACGATTGGATGAATTGCAAGTTGATTTTATATAGTGGTCAATACAATGCAGTTGGCTGACTCCAATAACTATTAAAACTTTAGACTTGGATGGTTAAATCCTTCCAAACAGAAGCTCTCTGGTGAACATTACGCCCATGTGTTTAATGTCCTTCTCCTATGCTCAAATGCGATAAGCCAACTCTGTTGTTAAGTGCCAGTTTTAATGAACATGGAATTAGGCCAGCTGGCTGGCTAATTAATTTTCCAATTTTGAAGTTTGTTTGAAACAAAGCCCTTGAAACATATGTTGATGTTGTTTCTTTGTGCTTCTGGCCAACATGTCTGCCTTCTTTGTGGAAACTGTAGATAAGTCACATCACGTCCAGCACTTCCTGTGGTGCCAGTCAAAGGGAAGCCATTGGATCCTCATTGCTTAAAGTCAGCGATACAGCAGAGGGACGTGATGACTTTGCTAAAGTCTGACAACCTATTGATCCGTGAGCTCAGAACCATCAGCTTATCTGAATGTTGCCCAAGGAGGGAGAGAAGCCATTCTGTTCTTCTGCCTTCAAAGTCAGCTCTTATAAAGAAGGGTGCAGATGCAGCTACTGCCCAAAATGACAACATCACTTTAATTATAAATTAAGCTCAAACAAAAGGTCAAGATTCTGATTTATAAATAGCATAAGAAGTGTAAAGATGAAAAGAATCTAAAACGAAATGTCAAAGCTGCTGTCAGTAGCTCATTCACCTGCAACTGTTCAGCTCACTGTGTTTCTCTCTAACATCAAACTCAATAAACGGCCAGACAGAAACACTGACTATGAGGTTAACACCATCAAAAAGCTACTGTGTGTTCCCAAGGAGGTGGGTCGTAAAATAAATAGGGGCTCGTCCAGGATCCATTGAACCATTGGAGGAGACAAAAGGTTGTTGAGTGTTGTGTTTTTCAGCCAGCGACTGACATTTCAGTGGCTTGATTATGCACCACCAACCCAGGATAGACCCTTGAGGACCTCCACTGGTAGGTGAACCTGCAGCCAAAGAAGATCCAATCATCTGAACAGAAAAACTTCTCACCATTAGATAACCACTGAACCACTAGTGAGCTGAACTTCTAATGCTGACACAAAGTCCAATAGCTGCAGCCCTTGAACCAACAGTTAAGAATGTAATGTCCACAAATGGTCAGTTTTCACCTACAGATGACCTACAGGTCATCGGTCTACAGACCTAATTCAATCCTATGAGGTGGATTTTATATTCTAGCTGCCAACAAGCCATAAGATCCTGAACTGCTTGTTGACATCCTGGAATCATAACATTGACATCCTGTTCTTTCCAAGGTCCCTCACAGAGCACCCTTTTATCTAAACTCCTCGCTTCAAAGAAGAAAGAAGATTCTAAAATTCAATATGAACTTCTAAAACTTAAGCCAGAAAATCATTAAATAAACATTTGTTTATTGCTACTTATAATAATTATAAATAATGAAATGTTTCATTAATCTCTGCTCAATGATATATGTTTCAGCATGTTTACTTGACAAGGTCATAACATTTGCAATCACACAAGTACAAAGTAAGGTCAAGTTAAGTCCATGACACATAATTAACCTTTTACCCAGATCAGAGCCTCCGGATCAATTAAGGTGTGTGTTTCTGAGATTCTTGGTAACATCCTCAAACTTGTCAGCCTTTGGTTGGCTACACAATCATAACGTTGGAACATTAAAACCAGATCACACTGGTGATTCTTCAGTTCTAGAGAAGCTTCAGACCTGACGCCTGAAGCAAAAACCTCTTTAACCCACCAAAGATTTTGACACGTCGTCAAAATCTTTTTGCACCTGCAAAGCTGATACAACAAAATAGTTCCTGCAGAATAAGCTGATATTGTTTAGACTCCTTAAAGGGACTTTACGGACTTTTGAATTTTTA